CAAATATATATTCTTTAATCTGTTCAATTTATTATAAATATAACAGAATATTGTTTATTAGTGTAAGCAATTTGATTTTTAAAATATATAAGTTTATTATGCTATATTTGGACATTTTTAACTTTTCTACTTTTAATTTACATATTTTTCACTATTTTGTTACTGCTGTATTAGTTTTATATTAAAAAATGACACTTATTGCGCTCCAACTTTAGAATTTTCGGCCAATTTGCAGTTTTTGATGTATATTCTTTTTATCTTGATAGGGAAATTATTCTTTTATATATTTAGCAAACTGTTTTCTAATTTTGTTAAGTAGAAAATCTTCCAATATCGTCTTTTATATTTATTGTTGACACTAAGTGATACATGCATTTAATATGAAAAATATTAAATTAACCCATTACTTACCAATGCTCCTTTATTGAAAAAAATATTTATTACCTATCCATATTAATTGTTCTTAATAATTTTATTTTACGTGCTAATTTTGGTTCATATATTGGTGTTTTTGTTCTAATGAACTACTTTTCTAAATAAATATGCTGTTTCTTTAAGCACCTCAGTGAACTGAGGCGAAATATAAAAGTGCATGGTAAGTTGATAATATTTTTTTCATTGCAATACTATACTTAGGAGTTATTCTAAATAATGACATGTATAATAAAAAATGTGATATACACTGTAATATATGAAATAAACTTTTCATTCCACCTTTCCTTATGCATGTGAGCACCATATACATTCTGCTATTCCTATTTCGGAACATTAAAAATTTCTGATAAAGAAAAATGTTATTGTATTTACGTTTTGGTAATTGGTTCTCGGTCTCATTAGAAACAGTAACCTGTCAAAACTGGTTTTGAATCACCTATATCTTAGTTTAGCAATTAATGGATTAAAAGTCCTGATAATTGTGTTTCGTATTGAGCTCAATGCTCGAATGTTAAATCTATTGTTGACCAATTATAAAACTTATTGAAAAGTTACAGATTTTTTAGATTAAAGATTAAAGGATATTTATTGCTCATTATCAGGTAAGTATGTGGGCAAAGTCACGTGCACTTTTTACTAATTTGAAATTACGACAAAAACAAAACTACTTGGACTTTTACGAAAAGTAAAGAAAGGAGGACTGTTAACCATTCTGTTTGTTTATAATTAAGCACAAAGCTACACAATGGGCTATCTGTGCTCTGCCCACCACGGGTATCGAAACCCGGTTTCTAGTGTTGCAAGTCCACAGATATGCCACTGTGCCACTGGGAGGCCCATTATATCCATTAATCTGCTTCAGAGTACAACTAATTTAAGTATAAATCGGAAATTGTTTCTATTTAATGCAAATTTTATCTGATCCATAACTTTTATTTGTGTCAAAATCATAGTAGGTTAGAACGATTTTTTCTTCCATCAATCTGTCTCTATAATAGTAAAATCATTTAAATGAATGTCTGATCTACATGTTATATTTTTATATATACATTTTAGAATATTCTTTATTTTTTAATTACTTATTGATTACATCTTTAATGTGTGTGTATCATTTATTTATATTAAAGCTTATAAGAAATTAGTATGTATATTATTAATCTATGTATCTGTGTAATTTCCAAAGCTAAATTCTAATTCAATTGTATTCAATATTTTGTTTTTCACAGATTTGGATAGAATATTTTCCACATACTCTATCTGGTTTATATTTTCAAACAAAACAATGACTTACAATTAATACATTTATTAAGTGATTGTAAAAATTTCTGGTAATCCTTATAGTTTTATTCTTTCTTTATGAATCCTTTGTAACATATCAATTTTAATTTCAGAATTAATATCATCTACAGAATTAAAACGACCGAAAAAGATTACGACCAATGATTTAAAGGAATTTATTCACTGAAATTGTTTTCCAGTTTCCGAGTAACAACTTTTTGTTTATATAAATTAAATTTTAATCGAGACAATTTTTTTTTTATATTTCTATTTGTTAAGAAAAAATCACGTTTTAATCCCAGGTACAAGTTGTGACGTCTATCTAATGAAGAATAACAAAAATATCTCTTTTCTAAGCTAATTGTTTTAATGATTACACCAGCACTTCAAATACTAAAGTAATCTTTCTATCAACCTTCAAATTATCATGTGGACCCATGTGGTACTGAACGTTATAAAAACAAGTTGGTTTACCTGTTATACACTTACTATAAAGAATTGATAAAAAACAATTGTTAAAATCATTAATTTTCTAAGTAAAATACAATAGGGACCCCAAAAGTAATTAATGTGGTTAATTTCAATATTAATGTAATTTGTCTTTATATTTATTTTTTTAATAATATGTTATCAGGGATCATGCAACCAATCAAATTCATAGACTCCCAAGCAATATGGCGGATAAATAATTTAGAAAATGAGTTTAAAAAGCAGATGGGGCTCGGAAACACTCATAATTCTAAGTTAATTATATTTTGATCCGTAGTGGTGTAAGACAATTTTTTAAAATCGTTTATATAAATGTATAAAATCAGTTTATATACTATAACTGTAACGAATTTGTTGTTATATATTTATTTTAATGTCAACGTATATTTCGATTGAGTTTATATTTAAAAACATGCATAGCTTATAGTGTTAGATATGTATTGCGAAACTCCCGCCTATTCTCGAGAGTAAGAATCAACAATATATATGTGTGTACGTAAACACTTAAATTGTATTGTTACGTAATCTGAATTTTCTAGAAAACCTTCTCACGGCTGTAAATATAATCAACGCAATGCTCCAAGGAGAGTGTCTATTATTAGTTCGCTATAATCAGTGTGCTATAAAACTTCGAAAGCTTTAACTGTGATTGTTATAACGCTTACCAATCGGAAAACTTCGGATATTTTATTAGGAACTTTTACAAAGTTCGAAATTACAAATTATTTAACTTCAGTGGATTCACATCGGACATTAATACTTTTACGAAAACATTACCTAACGTCATCGGTGAAAACCCAATCTCTAATATGCGCATGAACAGTGATGACTACAAGGCTAGCTAGCTTCCTGTTAATTAAGTGAATTGCTCCTACATCAACTCGAAATTAAATCGCTCATCGTAAACTCTCGATAAGATATCATGGAAGTTCCAGACTAAAAGGAAAACTTTATATTGTTTGTAAGTTTGTGAAACTTTTGTTTATAAATCATTGTTTGTAATAACTATTTGTAATAACTGTTATTGTAAATTGTATTGTTGTAGGTATATGAAAACGTATTTGGCTAAAAAGAGAAAACTGTGTGCATCAATCTTGTTGGCAAATATCATAAATTGACTAAATATCGGCTTTTATTTAAATACTGAATCCAAAGTACAATTTAACTATTGAATTTAAATTATCAGTTAACTCAATTTCAGACCATTTGAAATTCTAATACGTAACATAACTAGTTCCTAGTTATAGACGCATATCCTTCAACTATTTATAGTTGTAGTCCAAGTAATATGTATATATTATATATGTATCTATTTCACATCGTTTTTAAAAGCAAATAAGAACACAAATTTTGTCCATACATACGCGAAACAAATTTTAAGTTTTAGATAGTAGTTCTTTATTTGTCAATACATATTTTCCCTGGTAATCATAACCATACTTACTGTCTTTCTTATATTATGCACGTAAACTCAGCCGCTCCGAATTTATAAAGATTAAGGTGAAGTTACTTATTTTAAAAGTTTTTATCTCTAGTTCTACCTGACGGTAAAAATCCATTTTAATTTATTATTCCTTTCTCGTTTTTATATGCATATATATATATTCTGTATCCAAACGCTTTGGTTTATATAAATTGCAACCTATAAAAATTGGGATCTTTAAATAAAACAGACTTTCTGATGCACTAATTTAGAACTCTTATAAACGTATATGAACTTTGTTGCATTATATTTCAGTTCCATACTATTGAAGAAATATCATATTGTTAAGCAACTTCATTATTTAAGGGTACCATAATAAATACAGATTATATAACAGAACTTAGAGCCATCAGGTATGCCCCAGTTATAATTAAAATAATTGTTTTGCTGTTTCACAAGATTATTGGGTGTGAGATACTTCAAAGTATCTTCAACTCAAGAGGTTTTGTCGTACCTTCGATTAAGTGATAAAGTCAATACGGTTGATTTAAGTTAATAGATTTTGTTGTTTTTCATTCATGTTATGAAATGTACTTGGTTGCTTCAATTTAACATATTTTGTATTTTTCTCTCACTTAAGTAATACATCTCACATATTCTATTTAAATTAACGTACTTAGTCATTTTTTTCAATAAAGTGATAACATCTACATGCTTATTCTAAGTAAATATGATTTGTCATTAATTTTTTCATTTTAAGTGATAAAATCTACATGGTTGCTTCAAGATAACATGTTGTTGTTGTATTTAAGTCATAGTGGGAAAATTGTTTGCTGTAAGTTAGCAGGTTTTGTTTTGTTCTTCTTACAATTGATAAAATATACACGTTTATTTCAAGTTTACAGATCTTATTGTCTTTTTCTTTTGAGGGATATTTTCAATATGATTGCTCCAAATTAGCAGTTTTATTGTTTTTTCATTTAAAAATCTTTACGTCACCAAATAAAGCAGTTTTTGACTTGTCAAAATAGAAGTGAAATGAAATAGTCTCTGATTGGTCAAAATAAGAATAAATACGGATATTTACAAAAGTTTTATTGATACTTGTCAATCGTTAGCTATATATAAATTCTTGAATTTTGCGACCCATACTAGGTATTGAAAGCTTGTTGGTTTTAATTAATAAAGTGATTTCAAATTAGGCAAGAAGTAACCATCATGTCTTCAGTGTTTTATTTATATATATATATAATCATTATTCAAATACTTAATCCAATCCTGCGTGATAAACGATTTTACCTACTGAGAAGATTTTCCTTTTCTGAACTTTGTTCTCTTACAAACATTAAGTGAGAAACACGGAAACATTGGACATGTGCACACAAGTCATTTATTATATAAAATAATTTTATTTACATATAAACAGAACATCGACATCAGAAAATGCAGATTCTTGAACATACGTGTATTTGAAAGCTAAACATGAGCATGAAACACCAGTTAAAAAAGTACAGTAGCTATGACCTTTGCTCTTTGTAGCTTTAGAATACTAGAAACCATAACGTTCGAATATATTATCACTGAACACATTTTGGTGGATGGCTCAGCATATACTACACGATATCCTACAAATGTTTGCCTTTCTATCATGCTCTGTCTTGTTTTGCTTTTTTAAGATCAATACGTTTATCAATTATCAAATTGTCGTCGCATTTCTTTAACTATATAATTAAGTCCGAGTTTGTCATAATCTAGTATCATAATTATTTTTAGAATATTTCCCGGATGTTTGATAGGTTTGCGTGCTGGAAAAGCTTTCAAAACAAATTTAATTTGCTACTAGTTCTGAAATACCTGTAGATGGCTTAGGTGACTCAGAAAGATTTTTACTCTGCGTATAAAAACACTTTAATTACGAAATTATATCAGATTTCTTATCAGAATGGCTAACGAATTAATCGTGAATTTATTATTTCCGAATTAACTTAAGCGATAACACTTTACTATATAAAGAAGTAGAAAAAGAAAAGGAGTTGCATTCTTCGATTGGCAAACGTTTATGGGATACCTTGCAGCTATTTAACAATATAGTAACTACTTCTCTGTCTTAATATTTACAAAATATTACGTTAGTAGGGAATAATTTATTTAGTACATCGTTACTTCACAGTGAATACAAATAATAACAAACATGAATACTAGAACTAGGCAGAACACCAAGTGCGTATCAAATGTGAATTTGCTATAGTATCTTTGGTACTACAGATTCATAGATATAAATCTTGAAACAGTTTTCACCGTTTTCCTAACTTCTTAGTATACGGTACAGAACATTAAAGATTAAAAATTAATTCCTTGCTGATTGTTCCAACATTTTAAACATCACGTGAGAGAAAGAAAAGGCTTGTTACTTTTTGATAGAACGTAATTTGCATTACAACCAGTTAACGCTGAAGTTTGTTTTCAAACGTGCAGGATAAGCAATGCATCAGTCCTGTTTCTGCAGAACCAACATAGGTTTCTTTTTATTTATTTGTTTATATTGTTTTACCTTTACTATACATAAGGATCACCGATTCAGAACATTACTGGGCTTTTTTTGCAAACCATAAGCTTAATACTGTATTTTATTATCTTGAGCACATTTTATTTACCTATAAACTATGACTGTTTGTCTTAATACCCAAACATTTAGGCCTAACACTGTCATTGATCACCTGAAAACGCTCACTTAAAGATTTAAAGCTTTATGATATGAGTAATCATCTTAGTAACCCAAACATTTGTGTTTAGAAATTAGTCCTTAGGCTGTTTGTTTGTTTGTAATTAAGCACAAAGCTACCCAATGCGCTATCTGTGCTCTGCCCACCACGGGTATCGAAACCCGGATTCTAACGTTGTAAGTCAGCAGACATACCGCTGTGCCACAGGGGGGGGGGGCACCTTAGGCTGTGACTGATCATTTTGATAATTCTAATTTAAATGTGTAAAATTACTGTATAGGATCTAACGTTTGGATATCACTCATCTAACAATTCTAGAGCTGACGCAGTGACTGATCACCATGGTAACTCTTACTTAATACTATAATTGTATACTTTGATAACATTCACCTAAATATTTTACACCGTGACTGATCACTTTGATAACTCTTACCTAATCTGTGACTGTTTACCTCAATATCTCTTAATTAGCACTATGACTGATTACTTTGATAAGTCTTGTCTAAAAGTCTTAAATCTATTAAAGTTGGTTGTAACCGTGATGACACCTACCTAAAACTCTTAGGCCAAATCCTGTGACTGATCACTTTGATAAATTTACCATTCAGTAGACATGGTGTGTTGCTGACAACATCAAACACTGGTTTTTATGTTTGTATTTCTGCTGATCTTTGTTATCAGGCCCATAGCCAGGGTGTAGTGTGAAACCCTTTTCCATATCAAATTTGTAAGGAGATCAGAGTAGTAACCATGGAAAAACGACGAAAGGAACTTTCTTGAAGATGTGAGGTCTATAGTAGCTCTATGTGATGAAGCTGAAACTACGATTGATATGATTGACACCTAGGAACAAGATAGATGCTCCTATTCGCGTCTATCATTAGAAAGCTTGTACACAGCCTTACGCCGTCGTTATGGGGTTTAGGCTGTATATGTTCCCGAAATAGTTCTATAAGTACGAACTCATAAAATAATAGCAAAAATGTTTAGGATTTACATTCTTTTTATTTCAGAATGTTAATTTCTATAGTAAACTATACCTAAGTTAGACCTATTTCTAGTCTTAAACTCATTTTTTAAACATTCCTTCTTGAAATTGAAAAGAAGAAGTAGAGGTAGAAGATAGCATCAAATTCTACACGTATATACAAGGTTTATTCTTGCATAATATCATTTCAAAATTTATAATTCAAATTAAAAGCACTGTAATGCTGTTTATGTATTATTTATTAAAACCCCATATGATATGCTTAAACATCACCTGATATTTTGCAATATAACTAAAGTTATTTGCACAAAAGCTGTTGAATGAAATACTAAAATAAACATATAATAATTTTACGACAGTCAAAATTATGTATATATATATATATATATTTCAATAAAGAAAAATTAAGGTTGGTGCAAGTTTGGGTTAATATTGTTAACTTGGAAAATCTGGTAGCTCTTTCTAGGCAGTATCTGGATTGTACTCTTATCATGGAAGTCAACTGTGGCACCATGTCTATAACAAACGTTAAAGGACTGGGGCATTGTCTGCCTTATATTAGTGAAGATCGAGTCTTAGCTAACTTGTACTTCGGGACAAGTAGTTAGGCATTGGCTGAATTATAGTGGAATAAGGAAGTTAATGTATATATCAGTATGGCTCGAGCATCACATAACTTTTAAAATGAAAATCGGTGTAGATTAGACATTATGTAATTTTAATGAAGAAAGTGAAGGGGCTCGGAATTACGTTATGTGTAATAGATGTCAGAGCAGTTGAAAATACTAAGAACTATAGCGGAACTAGTAAAGACCAGATGCCGTCTAGAAATATTTGTTACATAACATATAACTTCTTTAAGAAACTAATGTAGGAAAAAATTCAAGGTATAAAATTTTTAATTTAGCGTGAATTCATGAGGATTTTTTTGCTTTTACCTTTTTAAAGTTTTTGCACGAAATATTCTCATAGACAATTAGTAACGATGATATTTATACCGGTTTCGTCTGTCTTAACGTTTTGCGATACTAAGAGAAGTTCAGTGCTTTACATGTGAGTTATGGTGTTAAATAAGAGACAACATGAAACAAAAATAGCATGTGCTGGCTGAAACCTATGTACATATGGTAACTGACGAACAAGAATCCATATTTTACTTTAGAGATATCTACTTTGAACATGTTTAACAACAATATGTTACTGGCTGTACAAGCTACCACGAAATTCCAGTGTGTCTCTATCACCGACTCTTAACAAGCTACAATGATGAAGGGAATATCATTTGGATACAACCTCGCTCCATATGTATTTAAAAGAATAGGTTTTTATGATGTATTCTCGAGCAGCATTGTATCCATGTTTTTGTTTCGGACTGTTTAAAGTAATATTTTTACAATAAACAATAAATTGGAAACACTAAAGGCGGGTTCAACATTCAGAACAGTATTTTTTCCGGCTATTCACAAACTTTCTGAGGAGAAAAACAAATTCTCAGCTTAATCACATCAAAGTTACGTTTCTTTCGGGTGGGAATTCAATGAATGGAACCTATCATTTTCTATGAGCCTGGCTTTCTTTGGCCCATTTATGGAGATGTTTAATCAAGTTAGTCATCACGGCTTCTGAGGCTATCCAACTGTCGTGTGAGAAAATCATCACTGTTCATATTCTCTTCATTCCTTTCCTTTTCTTGGTTCTGAAAACACAAGTAGAATATCTTTGTAGAATTAAAATCATTTGTATTTGTATTTAGTACTCATTGTCTTTACTTCGAAACAAATAATAATTTAAAAAAATGATGCCACTGTTGCATGTTTCATCACATATAATATACGAGATTACCAGTATGATGCTGCTGTTGCATGTTTCATCACATATAATATACGAGATTACCAGTATGATGCTGCTGTTGCATGTTTCATCACATATAATATACGAGATTACCAGTGAGAAAAACAAAATTCGTTTAAATAAAAGATAGAAAGTAATCATCAAGTTTTTCAGCTCTGTAACTGTTGTAATTTTGTCCCATTTCTTTCTTTCTCAGTGTCTAATACAGAAAACCCACCAACCCAATATCTGCCATCATTTCCAATAAAAATAAAAGTTGGGAAATCAATGAATTAGACCATGACGTACTTAACCTATTGAATAGATAAAAATATTTTTTACATTTCTAGAATAAATGATATTATTATTCTTAACTTCGTTTAACGCAAACTGGAGCCATTACGAGCCATTTTTATGAACGTAAATAAAATATCGACCAATATCTACATAATGTAGCTTTATTAACTCAATATGTCTCAATATGTCAGAAGCTATCGATATCCTACTAATCCAGATTCAATGATATTGTTTATAAATTATTATATTTTCTTAAGTATGTAAATAAATAATAGCATTGTATAAATGATAAGATCACTGACAATATTACCTAATGTTTGGAAGGATATTATTGTATAAATGATAAGATCACTGACAATATTACCTAATGTTTGGAAGGATATTATTGTATAAATGATAAGATCACTGACAATATTACCTAATGTTTGGAAGGATATTATTGTATAAATGATAAGATCACTGACAATATTACCTAATGTTTGGAAGGATATTATTGTATAAATGATAAGATCACTGACAATATTACCTAATGTTTGGAAGGATATTATTGTATAAATGATAAGATCACTGACAATATTACCTAATGTTTGGAAGGATATTATTGTATAAATGATAAGATCACTGACAATATTACCTAATGTTTGGAAGGATATTATTTTTTATGTGCTTTGGGGAAAGATAACATTACATTTTCAGTTGAATAAGAGCGTTATGTATTAATTAGATAGCAATATCATGTACTTGATTAGTTAATAACGTTAAGTAGCTGGATAAATGGTAATATTATGTACGTGGGTGGATGGTAGCATTGTGTACGTGAATGGATAGTAGCATTGTGGACGTGGTTAAATAGTATCATTGTTACGTTGGTGGATGGTAACATTATATATTCAAGTGAATAAGATATTATGTACTTGACTTGTTAATAATGCTATGTAGTTGGTGAATGGTAACATTGTGTATCTGGAAGAATGTGGAGTTTTAATATCTAACAGTGTTGTTTACTGTTGCCATAGAAACGACTGAAACAATTTTTTGATTGAACATATTATTGTTATAAAAATAAGGTGGGTATCTACTGCATTAGGTTTTGATTTTCTGTTTCTGAAAAAAGATATCACGAAGTAACGTCTCAGACCACTTTCTGTGTGAATAATTTAACTCCTCGAAGGTGGACTCAACCATCGATTCTTGTTCTGCGAACTTCCTATTTTTATCAGCAGCGGGTTAAGGGAATTTCTAAAAATAGCTCGAACAAACCTCCTTCAGTGTCTAATACAGAAAACCACCAATATCTGTCACCGTTTCCAAGAAAAAGTTGGAAAATCAATGACAAGTGTACCACTCGTGCGTCATCGCGTGGGTAGAAATAGAATTCAATATATTGCTTCTGACGTCAATGAATATCGATCGCAGCGCCACATGATGTCAAGCCGATTAACTGCTCGTATGATCAATACATAAACTCAATGGACACATGACGAGCGAAGCTTGTTTTCTCAATGGATCAAAGGTAGTTTCTAACGTTTAAAGGGTATATCTGAAGAGCTTTTAAAAGGACAAGAGAGACTGTAGACACTGATCTTTATTGGTTTTCTAAATACGAAAGATGTGTGGTTTTACATAATAAATAAATAGATATTTAAAGGTATAAACATCAGCCCTCTAAACTCAGCTTTCTAAAAGCAGTTTAGTTATGTATTAACCAGGGACAGACGTGAATCCAAGTTAGAACTGAAATATGAGAAATATAGTAACTTTTATAGGAAAATGCTTGTTATTTTATACAATGTGTTGTCTGTATCGAATCGAATACATTATGTGCTTAATTTGACTTGAATGAGAGTGAAAAGTTATGTAAGACTCTTAAAATATTATTTGCTAACTGTCATACTTTTGTATTGTTTTTGTGGAAAGACCGACATTCTATTTTATTGATATGATTTGGTAAGAATCACACTAATATTAAAATAGGACGTCATAAAGAATAAAGCAAATACTAAATACTGCCTGTTTTACTTGTTTACTAATTTTAATGTATTCTATATTCTGTTCGCTCAAATTTGATTTTATTCCGTTTTTATATTATGTGTGTAAACTAACTTTCACACTAAGAATGTTGTGCAAAGAAAATATTCTTATATGCAAATGAAACTAAACTTCAACATTTATAAACCAAATAAATCAATAAAGAGTTTGCTTTATTCTTACTTGAATATCGTTATGCATTTTGTATTGAGATAGTTGCTCCTCTAAGGATGATGACCAATCATTTCTAGTTTTTCTGCTTTCGGAAGCAGGTCTCAGCATTGGGTATTCTTTCTGACCCTCTACTGGGAAGGTCTGTAGTTGATTTGTAATTGCTATAACATGAGACATCATCGTAGCATCGTCAGGAACTTCTGTTGTTAACTCTGTGTCGGGACGATAAGATTCTGTGGAAGTTTGTGAATTATCTTCAGTGCTTGATATCACGGCTTTTTGTGAAATACTATTCTTGGAGTTTTTTTTATGTATCACATCCACCTCATCCTCTATAGGCCTTCTGATGTTTTTTGAGGAATAGACGTAATTCCTTAACAGATCAGTGAATAATTTTGGTTTCTCTATATTATCTTTGTATTCATAATCTGTATTTTGTGGTATATAGTTATTGATGGGATAGAGTGCTGGGTCCCAGGTGTAAGAATACTCATCGGGATATTCATAATCGTCGAAATAGTCTTCCATATTGAGTTCTCGCAAGAGAGCTGCCCACTGCGAAGCGGACAGGTGTTGAATCCAGTCGTGGAAAGCAGGGTGGAGGAGCAGTGAATAGGGATCTCTTAGTGAGATATCGTACAGAGGATACTTCTCTGGATGATTTACAGCTGGAAGAGTATCTTCATAGTCCTTCAAGAGGCTGTACACGTCACGACTTGAGCTTTCTTTTGGGATCTCAGGAAACACGTAGTCATCATATAGAGGATAAGAAACTCCCACGTCCATAAACAACAGAGCAATGATTGAGAAATAAAGGATTCTTATAATCATTACCATCGTTCTTACACGTTTTGTTGATAAATCTGAATGAAATAAACAATAATACTTCATAACTCACTTTTAGTGGAATGAATGGTTATCTAACTACGATATAACCCCATTGATGTCCCTAGCTAAAGGCAAAATCAATACTATTTTACTTTTCTAACTAAAAATATTATTATCCAGTTTTTTGATAAACATATTGTTCACATATCTGAAACTTCGTCACTACATCTAGGTGAAAGCGCTAAAGCGCGTTAAAAGTTTTATAAAGTATTTTTTTTTACCATTGTGCGAGTAATTTTTTCATTGTTTTTTAAAAATAAAACAGTGGAGCTAAAGACGAATTGGTAGAAAATGTAATTTCTTCTCAAATGGAATACACCCTCCTTCAAGTTCTGATAAATGGAATACACCCTCCTTCAAGTTCCGATAAATGGAATACACCCTCCTTTATGTTCTGACAATAGAATACACCCTCCTTTAAGTTTGATTATTTTCTTGGAAAGACTTAATATTAAAAGTGAAAAATATTTCAGAATTAACAAAATGGCTGATTTCACAACTATTAAAATAGGCTGCAGCAACTGATTAAATACGAAGCAATGCAAAATCTTGGAAGATGCTAGTATTGGTACTTACAACTTGAACCGCATTTTATGTGCATAATAACTAAACAGACGGATCAGAGACCCACTAAGGTTCACATATAGCTAATTTTGAACTACTGTACAAAGGGCCAGCAACGTCCGGCGTTCGAGGAGCTTCATCCTGCTCTGAACTGAATAACAGGTCTGAATGTTACTCTTATAATGTGCCATCAGCTGAAAGTGCAGAGCTAGTTTAGCAGCATTGCGGTGCGAGCCTTACAACGTTCAACCTGCAGCCCGGAACGTTAACCATTAAGTCATATTAGGCCACAAGATACTAGTATAGGAGTACTAATTCAAAGAGGTATATATATATATATATATATATTAATGTATAATCGTAGATTATATCGGCCTAAGGATCTAATAATCTCTATCGTATCTATTGCATATTACTTGTAAAATGCTAATCTTAGGCTATTCAAATAGGTTTTAGGACATACTTGCTTCATATTTTGCACATCTATAAAATGTCGTTCTGTTTACTAACATAATGAAATCTTTTGAAATGATTATCAATTATACCACGTGACATTAAGGCTGAGTGGAAGATACTTTTTTTAGGTTATTGATATAGTTCGATATAAAATAACTCGATAGGTCTCAAGTCACAATAATCATACTGTGAGAATGGTAACCAAAAGGCACAAGCTCGTACTTATTAACTGCTGCTGAGCTGTAATGTAACACTGCATTATCGAATGCAAGTAGGCCTAGTATGATTTATCGCTACTTTAATTTACTTAATTGTTAGTTTAATGTTGCATATCTGTGATTCATCTATATTCCCTTTCTGACAGAAAGACAAACACTAATGTGCAAGCGTTTTCTAAATATAAAATCATGTAGTATGACCTTGATCTTCAAGAATCAAGTCAGGGGTTGCAAAAATCTGAGTTCGACTTTTTTTCTTATATAGTAATATTTTACAGTAATGATTGCTAATCCACATACAGCTACAACTTTGAAAACGCTACTGAAGGTTTTAAAACTAAGCACACGCTCATGCTTGTTATAGCGTGTTTTTAAATAGTTTACCCGCCTGGTTCATGCTTCTTATGTTGTCAGATAGGTGGAGCCAGACAGGACACAGTTCACCGCAATTCTCTTTATGCTTTGCTTCCTCTGCTCGAAAATAGACTTACAGTAACGTGTTGTGTGATCTAATAATTATTATTATTGTAAAACCCACAATGTCTTTAGATTAAAATAACTTCTAGGAAGTACTAGGTCCCGATAACATCTGTAGATGGCGTTGAGTCTGTCTCTTAACAGTCAAAACATCTAAACACTCCCTGACAAAATGAATATATAATAAGCTTACAAAATGTTATTAGCTTGATTGATGGTGAAGATATTGGTTATGGATTATTAAGTTAGTATCCTGACAAGTGGGGAAAACGTAGGTTAAGGACTATCAGGTTTGGTAGAAAGTAAGGGCGGTACATAGTATCAGTTTCATATTTTTATGATTTTGAAGGGTGAAGCTTGGTTGATGGTATTTTGAAATAGAAATTGAAGGTAGTTAATGATATCAGGTTTTTCTTCTTATATCTTTATAGATAACTATCATGCCCACAATCAGCTATAGACAGTGTGTGGTAATGGGATTTGGGACATTGTGGGCCCCAGTACCCAGATCCTAGCCCCTTAATGAATATGTAACTTACTTTCTAGTTTTAATTATGTCTGACAGATGGAATATCCCCAGTACTTTTGAGTGCTTTGGCTATAAACATTTTCACCTTAAAATGATATCATTCATACTTTAAATGGTATAAATTTACATTGTTTTGTTACAGCTTTGCTGGTGATCACATATTTGATAGCGCGTACCTCAATAATAAAAATATTGCATTTTAAATATTATATATATATATATATATATGGAAACATTTTAAAATATTATGTGGGTTTAAACATCGTTATATACACACACATATTTATAGATACTTATGTAATAGGTCGTCAAGAAATTAATGTCGCGTTTCGGAAAACTTTCATTAACCACCTCCCCAAAAGACGAACATCACGTATAATAGTTAAACGAACCACCTAAACGTCACGTTAATGTAGCCTATATAATGTGTAAAGTTTAGTGTACTGTATTCCCTTATAGTGATGGTACACATTCGGCATGTAATGCTGTTTGAATACAAGAAGGGAAACAATGCCTCTGTAGCCACATAGAGTATCAAAGAAGTTTATGGAAATGTTTTGAATGTTCTTAAGTGTCAACGATGTTTCAGTAAATTTCGTTCAGGTGACTTTAGCCTTAAAAAATGTGATGGCACGGGCCGACATGTTGGAATTGATATTGATGTTCTGAAGACGCTTGTTGAAAAGGCCCTGAAATTGCGTGTCTCTCATGAAACAATACATAAACATCTAAGGAATATGGGAAAACTCCATAAAGAAGGTGTTTGGGTGCCTCACGAACCTTCCTATGATCATCGTTTCCAACGTGTGAACGTTGCTTCGTCTCTTCTGGTGCGTAATGCGCATGAACCATTTTTGGAGAGAAAAGTTTGTTATCATTAAATCTGATGTTATCCATGAGTAAGAAAACTGTTCTGAGTGAGAGTTTGTCATTATTATAACTTTTTATATATAAACATTTAACCTGCTACAGTTTCAAACAATGTGTAGTTTGTGTAATTTGGCTGCTTCTTGTAGCTCTTACTTTCTAGTTGGTAATTTACAACCAATAAAGGCCGTTTGTTTTTTTTCTTTAAGAACTTAATGTCGAAGATTAAATGTTTAGGATATTATACAATTCTTCTTAAATTATTGCATAGAAGAGACGAAATGGTCAAACGTACTGACACTCCAATCGTAAAATATGGCTGAAATAAAGCTGCATTACGATTGGCAGATTCCTAACTTGAATAACGAAGCTTCAGTTTTATTGGTACCAACAATAACTAAGTGGGTAGTATTCCAAACGTGAGGTCTAATTAGACATTGTACTGGGATCTTTTTTCTTTTTCTTCTTCCCACCACTAGTATCACATAATACAACGACAGAGATTCAAAAGAGAGAAAGTTATTATTAATATCAGTTCACTGTTCCGTTAATATTACTGAAGTATTTCTGCAAGTACATACTGTTCAATAACTTGATCTCACTGACCTTTCCTACAACTGTTTCATTATCAGGAATAGTTCCTGATCAAATCTGTAGAGACTTATGGCTCTTGTCACAATATTTAATATAAAAAGTGCTCTAGTATTTTTTTCAACCAATGGTTTTATTACATGTTTCAGCTGTTTCGAACTAAATAGGTATTGGTGGATGTATTTTGAACCTGAATGGTATCTTTGCGTGCATAGGCTAAGCGGACAGCTCACTGATTTCTAGGGTTCTGATATAGCCGTCCATAATTTGAATCACTAATCAGAAACACAGCAGTCAAGCAGCAGTATCCACTGCCATAAGAATTCTGCCAGATTTTTGAATTGAATAACGGGGTTGACAGACAACTGATAATGCAGAGTATGTCAGGTGGCACTATGATTCGAACATTGGATTTCTGAATCGCAGCCCTGTATGCCAACCACTAGACCGCTCCTAGACAAGATCGAAAAGGACCTCTACCATCAACATATTACAATTAAATCATAAAATGCTCTCCTTTAAAAATTCAACAAAGGTAGGCTAAAGTGGTATTTGCTATTTAAATAAAATAAACTGAATTTGGAAGCTTAAAATAACATTGTTTTTCAAACACAAAGGTATGAAAAAGATAAATCAAAATAATTGATTTGAAATCAAATAAACGTTATTAAAACATAAAAAAGTTAACACTTAATAATGAAAAGAGTTCAAGTATAATAAACTATATAGATATGATTTCAAATAAAATCGTAAAGATTTGAAAATAAAACAGTTCAGAAATTAAAGTTATTATAATAAAACCCTTAAAATGATATAGAGGGGAATTGAATTCATTTATTTTTCTATAACTTATTTTCGTTATTAATTATTTTAAGAGCAAAGCATTTGTATTTTATTTGTTTTATTTTATTTTATTGAGAAGCAACAGTATTTTAATGGAGGCATAGAAAGACAGTTTGGTAGCTAGTCTAAGTTTAGTGTCTCGTAATACTTCAAAAGGATTCACAACACGTTTCAGTAAAACCTTTCTCTCATAGACGCGCTGCTGTTCCACCATGACCAACCACGTTGACCTGTGTTAACTAGTAGAAATGTCGTCTCTAAACTATTTCAGGTAGAAATTGTTCATTACTCAAAACAAACTGTCAATAAAAATGTTTTAAGTATATATCTGTTTTGGTTCGCTTTTTATTAGTTTTATCCTAATGAAGAGAATGTTTTAGTTTGACATTTGTTTACTTTAAGCCATTTGCTTAGATGAACACCATACGTTATCATGCCCCACACTCATCCGTTTATTAATAATTTAAAACTGTTTCCTGGAACAGATTTTCTGTTTTTACTTTCAATAGAGAGGTTCGTTACTGTTGTTCAATTTGAGTTACATAATATCAACTAGATGTTTATCAGCATTCCCTGTTATCACGATAGTTACTAAAGAAAGTATTCTTCACAGACGATAGTTACATAATATCAACTAGATGTTTATCAGCATTCCCTGTTATCACGATAGTTACTAAAGAAAGTATTCTTCACAGACGATAGTTACATAATATCAACTAGATGTTTATCAGCATTCCCTGTTATCACGATAGTTACTAAAGAAAGTATTCTTCACAGACGATAGACTTGTAACTTTAAAAAATCATCTACCTCTCGATTGAAAAATAAAGAAGTGACGTTAGTGTTGTGTTCTTTACTTTACAAAATAGATTTCAGCACAAATACATAGAATACATAGATTTTCCTAATCAAGAATTTACTAATATCTTAACACTTCGAAACAGGGATCACTGTAAGCACTATAACACAAATGGAAAAGCTAGTTCTATAGTACTATTTAACATACATATCTTGTCCTCAGATAACACAAGATTTTTGTTTTATGATTCAGTGTTTGATATTTATACATATATCATAAGATTGGATTTAAAAGACAATTAAAACTATTAGAAAACAACACTTACCTTTGGATAATGTTGAATAAGAGCACTGACTTCTGATAGAAAAGCCTTCCCAGTCCGCTACAGTATATGTCTGAAGAAGAGCACCAGTTTTTATATTCAAGGATGGTGCTTCGATTTCCACCCACGCTTTTACCAGCTATTGATTGTATTTTAGCTGACGTTCTATCCTGTCCACTCGTGCGTGCGCACATACGCAAACTGCTGCACAGGCCAGCGAATCAGGGTCCTTCCTCTTCACGACTGTAAAATATACTTCGTGGATTCCACCATATGCTACATGGTTCCTTTTTTTTCTCTCAATTATTTCTAGATTTTTCAGAATGATAATTCGGAATTAAAACAAGAGACTTTTTCTTCAGTAAATTAATTGATTTATTGTTTATCACATCTTGTTTATTATGAATTCTATGGTGTTTTTTGTGTTTATTATGTATTTGTTAAAATATCTTCTTTTTCTTAATTCATATTCCTACCAATAGTCGGCTATTTCGGCCCTCTGTTTCTACTTTATAATAAGTAAATAAAACGTTTTGTTCATTTTTCGCCCCCAGTGGCACAGCGATATGTCTGCGGACTTACAATGCTAGAAACCGGGTTTTGATACCCGTGGTGGGCAGAGCACAGATAGCCCTTTTTGTAACTTTGTACTTAACTTCAAACAAACTTATTTTTCACTACCATCTAAATCGAATTTGGTGAACTTGGTAGTTATTTATTCAGCAAAAATGTTTGTTTAATTACTTATTTATCAGGAAGTTTATAATGTTTTGTTTCCCATATCCGGTTTGACTAAAGACTGATTATCTTGTAAGACAGGTTAAAAAAAAACTGAAGTGTGAAATTTGGATTATCAAGTGAACAACATAAATGTCGAAACATTTTGCCAAACAGTGTTTGAATTTTAGCAAAACAGGATGAAAAGGTAAAGAGACATGATTTAAAGCCGTGGTAGTTAGTTTTCCGAGGTGATTGAACAACGAATAATTGTTTAACACACCTCATTCTCCAGCAACTGAGACTTAGCTGTGTAGCATCTCAAAACAATTCATACAAGTTTCAGATGAACAACATTTTTCTTAGTTGAAGAATCTGCCCCGTTCTCTTGTCTAACATTTAGTTCTCACACAAGTGATAAACGTTTTTACTAAAAAAGATTCAAATTTACTGAAAAAAAAAGAAAGCCCTGGAACAATCCAATATCTTACTATGATGCATCAAATATACGAAGTAACATTTGATTATCTTGGGAATTTCTGCAGCAATTCTTTCAGTGGCGCATAATGTCAGATGGTTACTGGCGAAAGACTGCCGCTTCTATATTTATAACAATAAACATAATGTCAGATGGTTACTGGCGAAAGACTGCCGCTTCTATATTTATAACAATAAACATAATGTCAGATGGTTACTGGCGAAAGACTGCCGCTTCTAAATTTATAACAATAAACATAATGTCAGATGGTTACTGGCGAAAGACTGCCGCTTCTAAATTTATAACAATAAACATAATGTCAGATGGTTACTGGCGAAAGACTGCCGCTTCTAAATTTATAACAATAAACGGTGGGTATTAAGCTAAAGTGCTAAAATAAACTACGGATGTTAAGTCAAAAGTGGTAAGAACACACAGTGGTCATTAAGCTAAACTTGATAAAAATACCTCTTGGGTGCTAAGCTAAACGTGATAATTATACACTGTGGGTGTTAAACTAAACTTTTGATTTTCTTATTTATTATGTTACTCTTGGACGTATATTAATAACGTTAATAATCTTACCAAATTTTCTATTCTTGTCTTTGGTTATACAATACTTTTCTTGGGAATGATTAAGTAAATCTTCGAACGAACATAAAAAAAAAAGTTTCATTAAAACTTCTCTATGGGGCTTAGGTTATTATCAAGCTGTGATGAACAGCCTGGCACTTTTTAGTAACTATTGTCGACGTAGGAGGCGGTGTTTCTTGACAAAGAACGTGCAACTCTCACACTTTTTAATGTGTATGTGATGCTCCTTGTTTGTATGGACGTTATTTCTCACCTTTCAATTCCTTATTAATATTCACAGTTAGTATCGAATCTCATATCTATACCCAAGTGTTTTAGCCGTATAAAACCATGCAAGATATATCTTAGTGTCAGTGATAATTCTAGGTTTACAGAACAATAAGATGGAAGTATAATTATGGCTATATATAACACCGAGTCTTGCAAATAATGTTTGGGCTAAAGATAGGACATAAGATCTCCGTATATTTATACAGTAACTAAATTGATTGAACAACGAATAATTTTTAACACACCTCATTTTCCAGCAACTGAGACTGAGCAACTGTGTAACGGTCAGTGACCAGAAAAGTGTTCACAAAACCCAAAGTAGCATCTCAAAACAAAGGTATGGAAGAATATAAGAATATGTCAACCACACTATACTCGGTATATCCAGTGCCGACGAGGCCTTTCGCACAATACCAGAAACGATCAGGCCGTCTGGAGTACGATATAAACACTATTGGTCGAGACAGCACTTGTATTATCAAATACTTGAACAATTGTTTCGGTGTGGACCACATTAAGTTGAAGAACTGTTATTTTTATCGCTTTTATTTAAGTCATTACAAATCAGAACTAGGTTTATGATATTTACCAACACCACCTTACTTATTTTTTTAAACATCAAATCGTTTATTATTAATATTTTTATTTAATTATTTAAACTCTGAGGAGTCTTTTTTGATTTAGCTGAACATCCACGTTGCACGCTTATCAAGTTTAGCTTGTCATTATGTGTCAACTTGTAGCTCTATGTAGTTCAAGTAGTCAACGCACTTATATCTGATATGCAGGTGTTCTACCGGTTTTAATACTAATAGTGTCATCACACTTACATTTGGTATGAACGTGCTGTAATGTTCGATAGTTCAAGAAGTACAACCACAGTTAAAACTTGGTAATGTGGAGACTGTTCACTTTACTGAGTCTATATACGTTGTCCTGCCATGTTGATACAAGACAAAGACAGGGACAGATTCTTCCACTATCCGACCCAGTGACGTTACGTGCTCAGTATTATTTCTTCAGTTAAAGCAACAAAAATTTTATATGATTATAAGTATACCAGCCATTTAAGGATTAAATAAAGGTATTTAATTATTAACGTGTTATGAATCCAAACAAATAAACGTTATAAGTGATACCATGAATTTCTAATATCGACTGGCTGATGTAACGAGTTGACACATACAAGTTTATTTTTAGCAGCAAAAATCAATCCTATGAACGAAGTATTTCCTGGATGAGTACAGATCTAAGAGAAGTGCCATCTTTTATGATATTACAATCGTTTCTATCTTGCATTCAATGTTCTAGTTTTGTAGTTTGAGTTTTAAAGTATGTAGATGGTCATCCTTGTAACAGAAACTAAAAACAGTTATAGATAAACTTGTTTATGTAGTGTAGACGGTAGAACATTCAGGTATATATTGGTGCATTTGATTAGGGTGTAAATCTCAAACAAGTTTGAAGTTAAACCAGTTTTTAACTAAACTAAGTAGAAAAATCTATATACAAAAAATTTTCTTATAAAACTACCTCCAAATATGTGGCACGAATTTTTCACCTATATTTTATTAATGCGTATGATTTTTTACTTAAAAACACCTGAAACAAGATGCATTGATTTCAATCAATTAATTTAGCACATAGGGCTATGCTGTGGTATAATGTAATTCCCCAGGGGTTGTTATATAGGCAATAAACTTCAATATAACGTAGGGGAGACCGGGGCTAGTTGTTACAGGAGCAAGTTGATACAGTGCCTCTAGCTCTTCTTGAGATTAGTAGACGACGATAGTTCATGGACCATCGAACACGTGTTGCGCAAGCTTTGTTTTAATGGCAG